CTAATTGGTCTTAGCTTTTCAAATCGGAAGGTTTACAGAAATAAACTCACTGGCAGTTCACAGAGCGTACTTCATAAGTGACTTCATCTATATCGACAGTACAATTCCCTCCACGGTAGCACCAACCTGAAAAAATCACAAGAATGTTGCTTCCACACTAGATTATTCCAACATTCGGCCACTGAATACCATATGTGCTGTCAGGGGCACCTGCTGCACCGACATCGGGCTGCTAGGTAATAACTGCCTGTCGATACGCAGTCCTGTGCTGATTTGCTGAGGTGTGTCAGAGGAGCTGGGTTTGAGCAGCGCCAGCCCGTCCTGCGCCAGTTGTGCAGGCTGGCAGGCGACACAATTAGTGGAAAATTTGGGCCAAGCCCAGTCCGCGCTCAGAACGCCCTAATGCGTCCGCAGCGAATAGGACTGCATGTGCTTGCTAAGGCTGCGTTTATACTTTGCGGCAGCGTAGCGTAGCGTAGCGTAGCGTAGCGCAGCGTAGCGTAGCGCTTCCAGCGTACGCCAGCGGCAGTGCCGAAGAGAGGATGCATATCGATCTAGCTTCACCAGCGTCACCAGCGGCACGCTGGCGTACGCTAGCGGCACGCTAGCGTACGCCAGCGTTTCTCCAGCGTTTCACCAGCGTTTTGCTAGCGTTTGCAGCGGCAGGGAGTAGAGACTATGTGGCCGTGAGAGACGCGGAATCGACGTGTATTGTAGAGACTATGTGGCCGTCGGAGACGCAGAAGCGATGTGCATTGTAGAGACTATGGGGCCGTCGAAGACGCAGAAGCGATGTGCATTGTAGAGACTATGGGGCCGTCGAAGACGCAGAAGCGATGTGCATTGTAGAGACTAAGGGCGAGTGAGATACGCGCAATCGATGTGCTTTGTACCCTCCAGCTCTCCCATAGTCTCTACTCCCTGCCGCTGCAAACGCTAGCAAAACGCTGGTGAAACGCTGGAGAAACGCTGGCGTACGCTAGCGTGCCGCTGGTGACGCTGGTGAAGCTAGATCGATATGCATCCTCTCTTCGGCACTGCCGCTGGCGTACGCTGGAAGCGCTACGCTACGCTGCGCTACGCTACGCTACGCTACGCTACGCTGCCGCAAAGTATAAACGCAGCCTTAAATTGGTGATTATTTTTGATTAATTCGTATAAAATCGGACTAAGTAAAGAAGTAGCGTCCTTCATGCTCCGACATGAAGCGCGTCGCAAGGTGATTGCGCTTGTCTGGCATGCAGTTGGTGCGTCTCCGTGTTTCGAGGTTGTCTGATGATATTTCTGAAGGCTCATAATAAAAAAATATTTTAGTTTCGCCGCCGTTCAGTCTTCCAATTTTATTAAAAAACTGAAGATATCTCAAAATTTTTTGGATTCAACTGAGCACAACTTACCTTTACATTTACGTTTTGAATGACGTTTTCGTGCTTCTTCTAGCCTGTGATCTATTCGAATCGGTGCTGCAGTTCCGTAGATCATGTCCAATTCTTCGCTTTCGCTGTCATCTTAATAAGAAAATAAATATAGAACATCAAATTCTAGAAAGGTAGAGTTTACAGGTAGGCTTGTAGTACAGACGGAGAATTTAGTGCTGAAAGGAGCGGCGGTGAGACGTATAAGCATGCGCGCGTGCCGCAGCCTCTTTCGGCATGGCAAGGCTGCCCATTGGTGAAACGGGCTTGATGCAAGCGCAGGCAACGCCTGCCACCCTGATGCTCCGCTGAGTATTCGCTTATACATGGCAGTCCTTGTTAGCAGCGGTAACGCTGGGCGTGTCCAGCAGGGACTGGATTGGTGCGCCAGCACGTGGTCCGCTCAGTAACAGGGAGCGCTGGCAGGCCGACCATTTGTATGCCCTCAAAACAAAACTACCCTAAAATCCCATAGATAAGAGCGGTTTAATTTACCGGTGAAAAATGAATTGGAATGAAATTGAAATTGAATGCAGTCACCCCTCTAACTTGATGGATGGATAAATAAAAATCGGAGAAGAAGTTTAGAAGAAGCTCCGCCCCTCAACTCTAAACCCCGCCCACTTAATAAACAATTCATATAGAAAAATAGCGATTTTAACGGAATTTCTGCCGGAATCTCTCTAGAAATGCCGGAATCTGATTTCTGGATAGAACTTGAAGAGCCCATTCGATCAGTAAAATTCCATAGATAAGAGCGGTGTTATTTACCGGTAAAAAATGATTTTAAATAAACATTTTTAAAAGTTTATTTCACAACAACTAGCACAAACCGCCCTTATCTATGGACCGCTCTTATCTATGGGATTTTAGGGTAATTATTAGTATCTCTATGGCTTAAAGGCAATTGGCACGATAAACCCTCTAAGAACCGAGAAGGATTTCATATGCGTGGCAATGGAAAGGGTTTGGAAGGAAGGGATTCCGCGACCCTGAGCAAGCGCTGTGTAGCGCTTCTTCCAAGGAAGCTACTCTTATGAAGCTACCCTTATAAGGCCATATCAATCCTAAAACATACCGACCCGAACGCTCATACCTTGCTTCATTCGCTAAGTAAAAAATATAAAGCGAAGGAAGTGGTATGGAGGAGTTTTTTCTTTTTTTTTTTATTGTTTTTTTTTGTTTTGTGGTGCTGCATGGATATATGAATGAGTGGCAGCAATATACAGACAGCGCCGTATGCTACCGTAGCGATATATTAAACGCGATGCTAGGGAAACTCGTCCGAAATTGCTTTCGAGTCATTACGAACGAAGGCTTTTCTTCGCAGGTTTTTGACTGTTTCACTTCGCTTTTCCGCCATTTTCCCCCACTGTATAACGCTCTGCTAGTATTTGAGGCCGAGTATCAAATTATCGTGCCAACTGTCTTTAAGCTGCCGTTCACTACCGCGTACTCCACCAATAACCCCAGCAGGATTTGCGCCTCTGAAATAGCCAAAATATTTATCGGCGATGAGCTACTTTGCTTACCGTCGTCAGCTTCGTGGACTTGGTTGGTTTCGTGAGCAGGTCGATGATGGCCTTTGTGTCTATCATCGTCAATTTCGTGTGGCCGGCTATGATCTAGGAGTTCCGGAGGATCGTCGATCTAAAATGATGCATTCATTCAAGAATGAGATTTCTCAGGATTCCGGATCCTTGAATAAACCTGAACAGTACTACGTACAATATTGGTGCGACTTTCAAAACGTATAAGTGGGACGGGCACTGATAACTTTGGGAGGGGCATTTCAAAGCCTCTTAGAGGGAAGCTGGGTCTGTCGTCATCCGAATAGAGTGACCGCACTTGAAACTGGTCCCCCTCCTCCCAGTTGTGGGCAATTGAGGCATGTTCCGAATACCACCATATTCCGCAAAGTCTAGATTTCATTTGAACCTGCTTTTTCGTTCCTCCCAATTTTTACTTATTTTTTCTGAACTTCTTACTCTCCCTTTACGAAAGAGGTCATTGCTTTTTTTTGTTTCTTCGCATACCGCATGTATTCAGCCACTCTTTTCTAACAGTATAGCCTTTATCGGGGAGCATAAATAAATAAACACTCATGGGCAGACGTCCCTGGCGATGTTAAAGGAATGAAAACATAGGAACGAACATTTGAAGGAACAAAGTGGGAAC